GGAAAGGCTTCGAGCTGAAGGACCTGCAGCCCAACCGGGAGCTGGCCGCTTTGGTGAACTTAATCCCGCAGGAAATAAAGGAAAAAGAGTTGGAAACGCAGGGTGAAACGAAACCCTCCGGAGGTGTTCCCTGCAACGACCGCAGCTCGGCGGGGCGGCGACCTGGGGAGAAGGTACGGCCGGGGGCAGCCCGGGGCTTCTCCCCGCGGCACCCCCCCGGGACAACTCTGGCCGCGATTCTAAATACTTCCCCAGGGCCACGAACGTGGGGACATGGCTAGGACTGAGTTCACGATATTTTCGCGCCCCCCTCCCCCCCGGATACTTTGCATTTCCCGTGCTAATGGCGTTGTCACAACAATATCGTGTATGTTGAGCAGATGGGTTTAGGTTAAGCAGTGTTTGGGGTTCATTGGTGGTGTCTGATCTATTCAGGATTGCATAGCTGAATTAGAAGAACTAGTAGCTGTATATATTCAGCTGGTGTACAATAGTAATAACTAATTGTTCTCTGTGTTGGGTGTTACTTATTGCACTGACATAGCATCAGAGACTCCTGAAACCACACATAACACTATTATACGGTGCTACTGCTCCACCCAGCTGAACGGCACAAAATGGGACTGGTTCATTATTTAGATCTGGGCTTAGAATAACTCCCAAATTTGGAGAAGATGTGAAAAATCTATTGACCTTCATTATTTTAGCACATATATATCTAAAAAGTCTTTTTCAGTCTCAGCAGTCAAGTAGAGGGCTTAAGATCACAATTATATTTGAACATGTAACTGCTGACCATTGCATGTTGACTTCATTGTGAGTATTCCCACTTGGAATTAATTGTGTCTTCCGGACCCCTCCTCCCTCAACCAGTCCAGTGCTTAACTAACATCAACGGTGTAGGGATTTTTATTATCCTGCTGCTTAACCTAGTCATGCTTTCTTTGAGGGTTATATAGATAAATGGTCCAATGTGTCACTTTAAAGGAGGAAGAGATATGGGACATCTCCAAGCAACTAGAAACAACTGTAGAGACTATCCACCTCTTGAGGAAAGATCTCAGTACAGCAAAGGTACACATTGTACATTCAGTAGCTTCTGTTGCCACTGCTACATGGAGACGTGATTGACTCCAGTGTAGCCTTCCAGCCAAGGGCAGGAATCTGCCTTTTTGTTTCCTTCTGTTGCTGTCACAACTTTGTTTTTATTGATGAGAATGAACTATGGCACCAGCTGTACTAACTCCTGTCTTGGCTGAGACAAAGGCCACTGGAGTTGTGCATTGTTGCCTTTCTCTGCCTACCCCAGGAGTAGCCTGAATGTTTCTGGAACTCTTAGATGCAAAATGCAAATAATAAAGAGGGAATATTGATATTTCTAAGTTTGCAAGCAAAGACTGCTTGCCATAAAACAGTCAAGATCTGTAACATGCGTAAAATCTTATTGCAGGTAATGCAGGATAGTGTCAAATATCTTTTATTCCTTTGAATAAAGGTAGCTGTTTCTGGTCTGCAGAGGTCAGTCAAAGAGCACGATAGATTCTCATATTCCACCCATCTTGTCAAACACCACAATGAACTCCATGTTTTCTGCCTTTCAGGAATATGCATCTCAGATCAAAAGCCACATTACTAAAGATTTCTGTTGCATGAAGGAATATGTTGAAAGACAGGAGAGAAGCACACTGATGTTCATTGAACAAGAGCAAAAAGCAGCTCAGCAGAAAATTGAAGAGACTATTCACCAGCTCTGTGTTGAAGTGAATGAGCTCACAGACATCAAAGCCCAAACGGTAAGTGATGAAATGAAGTGGCAGAATATGAATAGAAACTCTTAAGCTAAATACCTTGGATAGCTGAACATGTACAGGGCACTTTGAGGTCCCCACTGCACTATTCTCACTAGAGACAATGATATGAATCCACAGACATTGCTGTTACCAGGGAACATTTGGAGTTAGAAATTAAGAGGAGAAAAGTATTAGGAAAGGTAGAGGCTGGGGATGCAATTCAGACCTAGATTTGTTCCAAGGATGTTGGTGAGCTGGAGTGAACTGGGGACTGCATTGCTTAAATCCAGTCCTGAGTCAAATCTAAGGTTAAGATCCTTTATCATTTTGTCATTTTCCAGAATATGTATATACCATATGTATGCAAGTTAGAGACCTCACAAAGTTGTTAAGTACTTTTTAACAACTTCCTTGGGGAAAATATGTCAAGGGCTCTCAAAAGAGGCAGTTAAAGCACTTTAAATTCTGCAGAGCCTGCTTTGATGTTGAAAACAATAATTCCAATGATGCAAATTAGCTAGCAGGAATTTGGAATGGGGCTGACTGGGTATGACAGTGCCAGGAGGCAGAAGTGGACTTCCAGGGCCAAGGCACAGGGGCCTACATTGGAATTCTCCTCGTGTAACGATGTATTTATATCCGAGCCAGAGTCTCGTTATAGGCAATGAAAGGAAAAGGGTACTTTTAGAGCGTGAGTCATCTGGCCTACTTGAGACGCCTACCTGAGATTAATCAATCCTTCAAAAGGCTTGTTTCTTTCCACAGACTGTAAGGGCAGAGTAAGAGAACAAGCTTAGATGTAGATTTCCACAATTTCTAAATTTAGGCAAAAGAGGCTTACCCTTTCATGAGTATTTTATGCTAGATCTCATACTAATAACATTTCAAAAGTTTTGGTTTGTGTTCTAGAACAAGAACAAAGTTTAAAAATAGAAAGTTTGTGTATATGTATGTATACTTAAGGAAATTGTTATATATATATAAAAGAAAAATTAGTCCCATTCTTAGTTTTGTTGGGGAAAACAAAGTATTTTATTTTTTTATTAAGAATAAACTATCCTTTCATATTTTCTGTAAGATTTCAGGTTAGTTCTCTCAGATAACTATCCTATAATGGAAGCTCTTGATACAAAGAGTAAGATTTTAGAGATATTGCTGCTGTTTTTCCAATCTGGCTTTATAATATGATTGATATTCTAGATGAAATAACTGCTATTGTTTATATCTTCCCCTTGATTCTTTCATGTCATTATTAGAGTAACTTACCAGAGAGACATAGGTACAAAGGCTCCCCTTCAACAATGAATAAAATTACACTTCATGAGAAGCTTAATGTTGTCAAAAGTGCCGTAGAAGATCTTAAGAGAAAGTTGGAAATTTTACTTTTGGAGAAATACGCTCAGCAGTTCCCACCAGGTGAGTTTTCCTTATTTTGAAATCTCTTTCTTAGAGGGATTGCATCTAGCAGGGTCCTTCAGAGAAAACAGGTGTGCATGTGTGTGATTATTATAAAACCTCTTGCAGTTTTGGAGACACGATTACTTTATACTTCTTTCATGGGAACCCAAAAGAAAAGGACTGGCATGCAGATCAGTCATAGAGAATGAAACATAATCTATTTAATTTTTTTTTCTAAATATAGAGTAATGTAACAGCAAAGTCTTCGCTAAGAGCAGACAAAAAATTCGCTCCCACCGAAAGCTGTGTCTAAGCAAAGTTTTTGATCTGTTACGGCCTTTGCTATGGAGTTCTCCTCCCAGCACTGTCTGTCTGCTGTAGAAAGACCACTGAATGTTTTTGAGAGCAACTTAAGACTGACCTAAACCCCCACTGCCACGGAGGGGCAATCCTCCCCTTCCCACCCTTTCCAATACCACCTGCACTGGTTCTCAAAAATCCCAGATACTCATATTTTTACCTCAGGGTTTTTCTTCTCTCCAGCATTTCAGCAATTGAGTTTACTCTTTGCTCCACAATCATTGTTACTAGCAAAACCGAGGAATCAGTGGGCAGAGGTGTGGGACAGGAACTTTTAAGGATGGCTTTCACCATGAAGCCAGTGTATCATGTAACTATACCAGAAAGTGTCTGCAAATGAGTCTTGTAAACATGCACTACAATGTCATAGAAAATTAGAAACAGCCCTTAAAGCTGTAGGGCTGAATGTCAGGCTTCTTGGTCAGCAATTAGAGTAAAAATTACTTTGTGCTTATGAAATGCACATGCAAGAAACACAAGAAACAAATGATACTAGGAAAAAATGAAATGGACCATAAACACTTTAATGATAGAAACCGGCTTGTCTGTGTAGAAAGATTTAACTGCTTTACCCATCCAACTTTTCTGACTGCTCCATTCTGACCACACTTAGGGCAGCAGCCTGCATTTTTGGATAAAAACCACATCCTTTGATAATTTATGCAATCAAAAAAGCAACTCTTCGTTTTGTACTTAGCTATGTTTATTTTACACATGTTTTCCTTTAAAAGCATAAATACTTGCTATTTACATTTTGAAGAAGTGCCTTAACACTTTAATTTTTTCCTATTTAGTGCAACCTCCAGATTTATATCAGGAGACAAGTGTCTGCTTATTATCTCCAGAGTCTGCAGCTAAAAATCTAGAACCAATGATTTCAAGCCAGTTTTCTCAGTGTAAGTATGCAAGCCAGTGTGACTCTTCAATAACAATATTCAAGTGACTATGAGACTGTGGATTTGCTGAAGAAAACTGTACTTAACAAACATCAGCAGGAGACCTGGCTGCTTACCCAAAGCATAGAAACACAATGAACTTACCATTAATTAATCAGTTACTGCAGCATAATGCAATACTATACCTGAGTGCATATGCAAGATAAAAAGGATAAGAAACCTGTTTCATGGAGGTGTACAAGCTGTGTTGTAGCTTGTTGCTGGCGGCAGAGTCTGAGTTGGTGTATGGGCAGTTACTGCACCTTACTGATCTTTATGGTGTTAAGCCGTAATGACTCCATGTGTTGTCTGAATTCTGCATCGTTTTTACAGAAATATTTTTCGTCAACACACAGTACTACAGCTGTAGCTTAAAACACAAAATGAATGGTTTTGCTGATAAAATATGCAAGAACATGTTCCAATGAACAGATGACTATGTAGGTTTTATTAAGGTAAGCATTATTGGCAAAAGAGTATTTTTTTTCATAAGTTTGTGATTAGGAATAAGATCCATCCTGTAGGGTGCCAGGTACTTCATTCGTGTTTACTGGGTTGTGCCTGTTAAATGTTTCAGTATGCATTGGGCTCAGGATGCAGTCGTTAGTGTTTGGTTGAGGATTCTTGCTGATTTGCAGAATTGAACTTTGATTAAGGTTTATTGTATGATCATCGGGTTTTATTTCTGTTCTTGAGTAGGGATGCACATCCACTGTTATGTAGAACACACGTAAATGCTGAGGTGATCTTGTTGCCTGCAGGTGAGAATATTTTCTTTTCTCTCTTGTAGGGGCAGATGATGTGACTTTTGATCTCACAAGAGTGTATGAGCGCTTAGCAATCACAGCCCAGAACAGGAAGGTAATGGTTTCCACCTACCTGACTGATTATGGACCATCACCCAAGAGATTCTGCATCAGCCAAGTGATGTGCTCACAGAGCTTCTCTACTGGGTGCCACTACTGGGAAGTAATTACCAAGGACAGTGATGGGTGGGCTGTTGGAGTTGCTCAGGAAATGATTGGTAAAAGGGACAGATTAGGAAGAACAGAGCATTCCTGGTGTGTAGAATGGCTAGGTTCCAAAAAGCAGCTGTCAGCATGGCATAGGGATCAAGAAACATTATTACAGACGGAAAAACCATTGAAGGTTGGAGTTTTGCTGGAGCTACAAAAGAAGACCATGTCATTTTACTCCATCACTGACAAAGAAATGCTTTTGCATACATTTGAAATCAATACCTCAAATCCTCTTTACCCTGCTGTCTGGCTATATAGTCTAGAAAGAAATGGATCTTTAACTCTAAGTCACACAAACAGGAGGTAAAGCCTGTTCAGACAAGTGAGAATTTTGGCTATAACTGCAGAGCTTCTATAGAACCTTCAGTATTTAGCACAGGAATTTGCCAAGGAGCGTATAGTTACTCAGGCTTTCCTGGAAATCAGCAACTGATGCTTTGTCTGCTCTGGTTTTCTTCATGCTGTGCTCTGATCTAGCCATACTTCATTAAAGCAATTCCACTGTATGGTAAAGGTAGTAACCATCCCTGTGGGAGTGAGGTGGATTTCTTAGGCAGCTTTAAATAGTCCCACAATATTCCTGTGAAGGAATGCACTGAGTAAGCTCTGAGGTTGGGGATAAGTGCTTCACACAGACCTCATTTTCCTACATTGATCCAAAAATTGTATTAGAACAGATGATGCCATTTCATTCTGTCAAGTGAGCTTTGTGTAGAAAGATCTGGTGAAGGAATGCTCAGAGGGCAAGAATGTTACTGATCTCATGCATGACAATCTTTTATCTTTATAGTGGGTACTAAACTACAGGAAATAGCCTTTGTATTTGAGGACCCGAGGCTTCAGGAAAGTCTCCCAGAAGAACATCCTGTCTCACTGGGCCCGCATCTTGTTTTAGTCTTGCTTGGGCCAAAGGGTTGTCATTTCTGGTGGTGGTGTGACCACAGGAATGGTTTTGGAAGCAGATGTGTTCAAATGTGTTTGTACCAGCTAATAAATCATGTGGTTGCTTTATTGCTCTTTTAAAGAGCCAGCAAACAGGACTGTGTCATGGAAAGGACCATCTTTTCTTGCCAGGAAGCTTGAGGAAATGAGGTTCTGTGAGTTTCCTTGCCAGCATACGGGCAATGTGTCTGCCCTTGTTTGTCACATCTTTCCAGCTGCAAGGAGGTCTCTGGTGCCTGTGTGGGGTGAAGGGGCCAGAGCTGAGATCCTGCAAAACCTACCAACAGCTGGCTTTCTGAGAGGACCCCTGCTTCATGCAGGCAAACTGAAAAGAGTTCCCAAGAAGAAAAAGCTTTTTCAGGAAGACAATGGCATTCCAGAATGAACAAAGTAAGTTTAACGTGGTAAATAAAGCATGTGGTATTCAACTAGCTCATTTAGCCAAATGGAGCTCCATGGCTTTTAAAGTCATTGACAGAACTGCTGGTAATCTTCAAGGTTACTCTCCTCTGCTGTCCCCGAGCTCTCTGAAAGCACTTTGGACTAATTGCATGTTTGTAAGATCCCAGAGGTGTGTGTGTCAGCTTCTGCAAGGCTTGAGGGAAGCTTTCTCAGCGTGGCCAGCAGTGTGACCCGTAGCTAATGCCGCTGCCTCCTGTTAGGACCGAGGTGTCCTTTCCTGGCCCATCTGGAAGAAGAACAGCGACAATACGAGGAACTCACCAGGCACCTCTATTTTTCCGCATACGCATTGTGCCATACTGGCCAGGAGCAGCAATTTGTTACGGTTTGATCGTAAATTACCACACAATTTAAAAGGGAGTGCCTTGTGTTGCTTCTGATGTGTTCCTATGCGTCAGACGCGCTCACTTGGCTGGCGCACCACTGCAGCCAGCACCGTTTCATTACGGTACATCTGCATCACGGCTCCTCGATGACAGACACCTTGGTCACCCCGGGAAGCCCAGAGCAAAGCTGCCC